ATATATATATATACATATATATATACATATATATATACATATATATATATATACATATATATATACATATATATATACATATATACATACATATATATATACATATATATATACATATATATATATATATATATATATATATATACATATATATATATACATATATATATACATATATATATATACATATATATATACATATATACATATACATGCATATATACATGCATATATACATACATATATACATACATATATACATACATATATACATACATATATACATACATATATACATACATATATACATACATATATACATACAATATACATACATATATACATACATATATACATACATATATACATACATATATACACATTCACATATACACACATACACACATACTGTGCTATACTTTATGTTAGATTTATATATTGAAACACTGAACCGCATATATATAACTGGACAGTAGATCATCACGTGACCTTTTGATGTTGTTCAAGATGGCGTGGGATTGTAATAAGTAAACAGTTTATATTCGCTTTATATTTGGAATACTGACTAAAGTTTGTACATACATATAATTATATTAAATGGTTACTGTTATACACATCTTCGAATCCTGATCTAGGATATTCAATATGAAACATGGTCCTTCTTTGAGCCGGATTGAAATTTGATATTTTGAGAACACTTCAAGAAATACGAGCCAATTTACGAGTTATTTGAGAGAATTTACGAGTCCTTCGGGAGAATCTACGAGTCCTTTGGGAGAATCTACGAACATACGAGATAATTTACGAGCTTCGAAAGAATTTACGAACGATTGAGTGAAATATTTACGAGAATTTGAGCGATATACGAGTCATATAAAGCGAACATCGAGACATTGGGAAATCTACGAGTATCTGAGTAAGTCTATACGATTATTTGAACGAATTTACGAGATTTTATTACACTTACAAGTATTTGGAATCATTATATATGAGCCTTAAAGAGAACTAAACGAGAAATTGCGCCTTAGAACAATATACAGTAACTGTGAACTAAAGGGATTATTATAAGGTATTTATATACATTTTGAGAAGTTAGATAAAGAGTATACACGTATTCGAGAGTGTAACATTGTTATTATGAGTGAAGAAGCAACAAAGAAACGTAAGATTCGGGGTGGACATAGAACCTCAACTAAGAGAACAATAAATGCTTCATCAACAATTCTTGACGATTTTGATCCTTCAAATAAACAACTTACCGAGAAGTTATTACAACAAAAGATTACATTAAAGGAAAAACTAGACATTCTGCAAAATTTAGACAATGATATACTAGCTATCACTGAGGAGAAAGATATTGAAAGGGAGATTGAAGAAAGTGATCTTTTGAGAGAGACAATACATGCTACAATTGTCAGAATTGACTCTGTAGTGAGTCCTATGAGCCTACCTCCATCACCAAGTCCAGAAGGAACTCAAGAAGAAGGGAATTATCATAATTCTAGTACTATACAAGTCATTCGTCGGCCAAGATAAAGCTACCAAAATTGAGTTTAAAGAAGTTTAAGGGAGATATTAAGGAGTGGACTCCATTTTGGGACAGTTATACTTCAGCTATTCATGACAATCTTGACCTGAGTGATATTGATAAATTTAACTATTTGAACTCCCTACTTGAATCAAAGGCAGCAGAAGCAATTGCTGGGTTAAAGATTACATCAGCAAACTATCAGGAAGCAGTTGACGTGTTAAACCAGAGATTTGGCGACAAGCAACAGATTATTAATTCGCATATGGACAGCCTTCTTCAACTACCTGCAGTAACAAGCCTTCATGATGTTTAAAGTATTAGACAGCTTTACAATAAGGTTGAATCGCATATCAGAGGTCTGAAGTCTTTGGGAGTAGAGACTGCGACATATGGTAACCTAATGATGTCAATATTGATGCAAAGGCTGCCACTGGGTTTACGTATTATTGTAACAAAGATGCAAGAGGATGAATGGTCTTTGGATAAACTTATGACAATCTTTCGACAGGAATTAGAGGCTAGAGAAAGAGCAAATCTGCAGTGTTTACCTTCATCAAAGTCCAGTTATCAACGAAATAAACCGGGAACAGCTGCTACTCTTTTCGCGGGACTGCATGACACTACCTGTTCTTATTGTCAAGGAAAGCACTTATCTGCAAACTGCAAGACAGTGACCAATGTGGCTGCAAGGAGAGATATTCTGAAACGAAGTGGACGGTGTTTTGTATGTTTAAGGAAAAACCATATTAGTAGGGAATGCCAATCGAACATATACATATGTGGTAGACGACATCATGGAAGTCTGTGCATGGGCGGCCAAACCCGACAATAACACCCTAATTCTGGCCAACCAGCAAGAACCTCGGCATCCACGTCAGCCCGCAACAGAGACAGAGAAAAGGGACGAAACCGGAATTGGTGGCAAGAACTTACCAGCACAACCGAACAGAGAAAGAGATCAACAGCAACAACAACAACAACAACAGCAACAAGCTACTACAAGTCAAACCATGTATGTTGGCACAAGAACATCCATCTTGTTGCACACAGTGAAGGTCAACATATACAAGCCCGGAATGCAGGAAAACAGAGTAAATGCTCGACTTATACTGGATAGTGGGAGCCAACGTTCTTTCGTGACAACCAGAGTGAAGAATCAATTAAAGCTTGATGCAGAAGGGACAGAAAACCTCATGATTAAGACATTCGGAGGCGAAGCAGAGGAACTACAAACATGTGAATTTCTGCACTTCAACATTGAGACAGAATCTACTTATCCCGATCTTTCACTTACAGCATTTGTAGTACCCACGATTTGTCAACCCCTCAGACACCAAGCAACCCAAACGGCACAGGCAGTGGCGTAACGGGAGGGTGTCAGGGTGTCCAGTGACGGGGGGGCCCCGAACATTAGGGGCCCCCGACAAAAATGACCATAAAAAATTTGATAGCACATTTCTGGGGAATTGAATTACGAAAAACAGACAGATAGGCAGCTACCTGTTGTGGAGTTGCTTATTAATGTGATTATGTTATAATTTTGCGAAAAACAAATAAACAATGCCGCGTAGCCTGCAAGTCAAACAAAAACGTGCAAAGTCAAAGATCTTAATAGGCCGTATTCTGTGGCCGCTTATCGTTCAGTTCCGCTGCCCCCATTCGGGGACTACTTTTAGTTTACATAAATCTATAGATTTTGATACGCTGAGTACGAATTCAGTTGTTGTAACTCGCACAAACCTGCAGTTTTTTTGTATTTTACGATCAAACATCAACATTTTTTATTAAAATTTCCGCCATTTTGTTCAGGAAACTTCATGTTATATACATTTATTGTACTAGTCCAAGTCTCTTAGCAGGGGGGTTGCACGCGGTATTACGCAGTTTGTTATCATTCTTCTGAGAAAAATATACAGAAATGAAATAAAAATATAGATATTTTTTCACAATATATAAATGCAAAAGGTACTGGTACATGTACTATTATTCTTTATAGCATCAACTTTTGTTTTTTTTGGCTAATCATGATGTGAAATTGCAAAGACTGTCACTATATCCACAAAGACTCTCACAGCTAGTCTCACTTGTCATTGGTAAAGTTGTTTATTTTATTTATTACTGAAATTATGTAGATAATTTTGGCCTTGCAATGTGAATAGCCAGAATAGGCAATTTTTCTTTGAAATTTTTGTCAACAATGAATAAGGAGCACAATATAGCCTATTGTTCAATAAATATTAGACCTATTTGTAGACCATTGCCCATCAAATTATTAGTAGCAGTTGACCTCAATAAAATTAACTCATCTATTTAATAAATCTGCACATAATTAGTTCCATTTTCTTGTATTATAATAACATTTTTCCTATATTATGGGACATTGAGCTTTATAAATAAAAACTTTTGGAAGATGGCTTTCACTCTCTGACAGACAGGCTACTTTTGTCTGTTTATATCACTGAGCTATACTATATTACTGGAGGACGTGCTCGGCATCAAAAAGTGTCCGCAAAAACATGGCGGATTTCGGCCTTTGCTGACGCCAGAATGACGCCATATGGTTCCTCCGGCTCATGGTAATTACCACTGACCAGGCTCAATTTTGAGCCCGCTACGACTTTCACACCCCCCTGGTTCTTATTAAAATATTTTTGCTTGTTGAAGTATTTGCAGTATATTCTCGTAGTTTTGATTTTTTTCATATTTTTTGTACCTTTGACCACTGGTTCAAATGTGTGTAAGTTGTACACATTATATCCTCGTCCTCAAAAGACAGAAAACCTCGAAATACATCCGCAAAGACGATATTTGAAGTCGCAACTACAGGTAAACTATTTCTCAGTTCATAACTTCACACACTGAGTCACACTCGAGCAAATTTTCTACAAAAATTGTTGGGTTTAACTGTGGTACAATGTATTATATTTTAGCCACAAGTATGTAAAGGTCTCGTAAAGCCTTGTTGTACAAAGTAATCAACTTTCGTTTCATTTAAATCGTGTGCAAAATGGTAGTTTGATCTATTGTTTATTTGTTTACATGCTCTATTTGTTGCATATTTTATGATGTTTTGAATAAGCCTGCTGTGCAGTTTGTATTTCATGATACTATTTTGAAAATTTTCTGTAGGTGGCACGAAACTGTGCATTTTACAAATATCAAATTATCTTAATTTGACCCTGGGGACTGATTTTATAATGACATGATTACATGAAAGTACAGTATAATGTGCTACCAGCTAGCCAGGGTGCATTCCATGTAGCCAAACCCGAAGATCTTCGGCGTGGAGTTGCGATGCCCTACGGCGCAGCGGCGTGCAATGCTAATGTTGGCGTGCCGGCGTAGTCTTTTTTTCCCCTCAACGGCGTACAAATTTAATATAATACAATCAGAAAATATCGTCGTTAAGTCTCTATTGTTTATCGGATAACTTAACAGTTTCATGATCTTTTTTCCAACCAAATCAAGTATAATATGTTGCATGCAGTGGTTTCATATTTGATAAAACACTTCCTACTTAGTATTCCTTATATAAAGAATACTAATTGGTTTTTGAAGCCGTTCAATACACTCGCGACTCGTGTTTTATTAGCCGTTTTCACATTAGAAGACGGACAAGTCGTCTAGACGAACAAATCGTCTCAAAATCGTCTTTTAGTCGGACAAATCATCAGATGTGAAAACGTGTCGAACAAAATTTTAGACGAACAAGTCGTCTGAATTTGTTCGACTGCTTGTCCGTCTGTGAAGACGATTTTTGAGAGACGATTTGTTCGTCTAGACGACTTGTCCGTCTCTAATGTGAATAGGGCTATTGTGTCTAAAACCACTCGCGCGCAGGGCCGTGCCGACCGGGGGTGTTTGGGGTGTAACACCCCCCCCCCCCCAATAATTGCTCATGTGGGCAATTTCAGGTAAATCCAGGTAGATTTGCAGAAGAAATTCAGGTAAATGAACACAAATTCAGGCAATTTCTAGGCCCAGAGAAAGTTAATTAACAAAAATAAGTGTGAATTTGGAGAAGAATGAGCTAAATTGACAAAAATTTTAGAGAATTGTACCAAATTTTCGGATTTAAGAAAAAAAAGTTGGATAAATGGAGAAAATTTGGTAACGCCGGGAAAAATTGTTTTATACAACGAAAACTTTTGAGATGTCGGGAAAAATTTTTGACCCTTAAAATGGCACACTGACCGAAATTTTTTTGGCGAGGGGGGGGGAGGAGGTCGCCGAAAAATTTTGCCAAAATATAGATTAATTGAATCTGGCAGTCTGACGGCGTGTGGCGTGTGCGAATTTTCCAGCGGCGGAACTTCGGCGTGCACTCTACATGGAATGCACCCTGGCCAGCTAGTACTTACCACTATATTTTGAGGGAATAACAAAGAGACTTTATAGTATTTTATATTTTGTACTAACTTTATATGCAAAAGCTAGAGGTACTCAAGGAAGCTCATTCTGCTGTCGGAGTACCTTAAGGAGTTTTGAATCACTATGATTGTAGTTCTTGGGTGGGGGTTCTAGTTAGTGCAGGATGATGCAACCACTGTAGCTAAGACTAAGACAAATAAACCTCGACGTTTCAGCTGAAGAGCTTGGGGCCTTTATATTTGTTCATATTTTTTTAGCTTTTGGTGTACATACACATAGGATTATGGTTTCTGTAACTTCTAATAGTTTCTTGATAAATATAATTCTGAAAAAACAATGTATTTTCAAGGGGTCACTCAACTTGCCAACAAAGTTCGAGCATTGTCTGAAAACCTAGTATATTTCTTTTGTATTCCTCATTTTCCCTTGATATGATTTTTCATGCTTTTTCTCTTTTAGAGTAACCTATATAATCTATTCTTGTTTATTGCAGAATTATTTACCACCACAATGATGCAGTTGAAATTGTATTATTTTAATTTAAATTCTTCAATGAATAATTATTAACTACCAATCACCAATGAGTCATTCCAGAAAAGATAAACACTAACTCCACAGATATGTCTGAAGTGCTGTCTGAAGTGGGCAGAACTCAACTGCTGATAATAGTAAAAGTATTAGCTAAGGGTGTCCAAAAGTGGGAGGAAGCTGAACCTCCCATCTCTTCCATTAGGGGTGTGGATATTTCTTTGAATGACCCAATCAGTTTGAACTAACTGTATAATCAAGTTATTCTAGTATAATTATCACTTTGTAGTCCCATGAGCTGTGACATCACTTTGGCTGTTTGGCATGTTTATCTCTTTTCAATTTTCTTTTGGTAGCGATAACAGATTACTACTACAGATACTGTATTACTACACATTGTTACACCCAAATAAGATCATATACATCAATGTTAACTATCATGATACAATACATCTGTTACAGGAAGAACATTTTTGCTTCAGTTCTTGTATAATTACATATCACTTTGATGCCTGTAATAGAAATGAGAAATAAAGTTACTTTGTTTATGATTGTTTTATTCTATGGTGTGAAACTGTTTCATATACATTTCAAAATTAATTGCAATGGGTGCATACTGTAGGTTCTGGCCAGTTAGCTGAGACCACCACCCCTACTTTGCAAGTTACAGCTGTGGCTGGATTGGAACTGTTAGCTCTTGTGCACCACTAATCTTGTATAAATCTGAATTAACCCATTAAGCGCAATCGCTCTCCCCAATTGACGAGTAAAATTATCTGGTGTTAGACAGAGTAAATTAATCTTGCGTTAGACAGAGTAAAGGGCGCATCAGGGTGCAATGCGACTCATAACTAGACACGTAGGCTAGTTATTAACCCATTAAGCACCAGCACTCTCTACTTGATGAGTAAAATCATCTGGCATCAGACAGAGTAAAATAATAAAGTAGGGTGCAATGTGACTCAATGGGTTAACCTCTAAGGGACCTAAATAAATATGGCTAAACATAAATCAAGACTCCCATGACAGAGGTATTTTCTGAGTGAAGGAGGTTTTTTGTTTGGAGATTTTTATGAGGCATAGAGGTTGTCAGGTTGACCCATACTAGCATTCTAAGGTAATGCCAATGCAAGAATGATATAAGTATAAATCATGCAAATTTGGGTATGCACAAGTCGATGATAGCTCGATGCTGAACTGAAATGTAGTGCACAACCCCACAAAAAAAGCCTAAATTACAGCCAATTGGTAAATGCTGATACAAAACCTAGCAAGACTAGCAGTTTATAATATTTGTGAAGGATACAATACAGCTTGTTTATACTGTATATAAATCTAGTGCTAACTGCTCTTTATGAAACAAAGCAAACTACAGATTGCATGAGCAGCATGCTGTTTAAAGACTTTAAACTAATAAACTGGCACTAAAAACAAAAGCCAGTGCCTGAAACTAGAAAGAAAATGTATG